AGGGAAAGAAGTGACTTAGTGGGTCGTCTGGATCCTGTCATGCTCAAGTCAGAAATGTGTCTTAAAGTGCTGTTGCTAATTTTGATTCGTCTCCTAGAGGTAACTGATTTAGGATCTAAACCTTGTCTTAAGTTCTTCAAAAATAAACCAAAGACATGTCAGGTTCAGCCGTTTAATTATGTTTTTAATGCTGAGCTCTTGAAAGTCGGAAAAAAATACTTCCAGGAGTTGATAAAAACACTTTTTAAGGTATTTTTCCTATTTTAGTGTAGTTGTTGAAGTGTTTTCCACAGCATTAGACGGCTCCTTGTCATTTTGGGGAAGAAAGAAGATGGTGTATTTTATGTGTCAATAAATGTAATTGAGGTTGCTTGAGAGTTAGGGAGTTGCTTAGACTGAATATTAAGATTTTTGAATTCATGGGCTTTTAGGGCCTGGACAAATTCTTTCCTGAAAATGCAATATAAACCTCTTTCTACAATATACTACTTGTCTTCTGCTGTTTGTACAGATTCCAGATTTTCCTTAGTCTCATTAATCGTCTTATTAGACAGAAAATCTTTATTTCAGCTCACTTGGGACAATATGATTCTGTGAATACAGATGTGCCTTTTGGTTATTTGGGGTTTTTTGGCTGTAAGCTCAGGCCATTCTGAAATTCTTATCCTCTTCTCTTAGCGTAGGATTTACATCCACAAAGCCAAACACACCTTTTTTACATGGTGCTCCTTGGCCATTAGACCAAGCAACACAGAGGAGTTTGGGTTTGCAGCAGAATTCCCTCTGTGTGTTCTTACTAGGCACTAATGCTCTTGGCCAGGGCATCATCTGCATCCTGTGGTCTTGAGATAAAACGATTAACCCTTCTCCTTGGTTCCAGGCATTTACAATAAGGTGTTGTTGCAGCCCACCTGCATGGTGTTTTTATAGCAAGAATCTGAGTGGGTGTTTTGCAAGCCCCAGCACGTGGTGTAAAGGCACATGGGGTTGTCTGAGGATGTAAAAGCCGATGGGAAGACGTTAGGGGTGTCTGCGTTAACAAAAGTCTGCGTAAGCACACATAAAATTGGTGTGGTCTTGTCCATACTTTATTTTGGGAGCAGATCCTGAAGCAACCTGTCTTGAGGGTTGCACTCTGTTTTTTGTTTGAGGGAACTAACTGGCTTGCTCCGAAAGAAAGCTAAGGGAGGAGTTATCCGATGTGCACAGCACATCAAGAGGACCGAATCGTCTACTAACAAGCTGTAAAACCTCATTTTTAGATCTATAGTTGTATAGATATTTTAGGCAGGGTCTGCTTAGCAAAACTTAACTGCTCTGGGATAAAAGAAGGAAGTCAGTTGCTCTAGGTCTGATTGTTTTCTTCCTTCAAGCTCTTACTATAAACTGCATTTTGTAAATGTTTCCCTTCATGTTGATTACTTTGTGCATTTCTTTTAAACTGGCTATTGAATAATTTGTCGAATTCTAAAGTTCTGTGTTTTAAGTGAAAAGTTTTGCTTTTCAAAAAAATAAAAGTAGCTGCAGCGTGTCCAGTAGGCTATTAAAAAGATAAATTGTTTCAAAGCTTACCTGTTCTGTTTGGCACCAGAAAAGAAGAGTTAGGATCTCTACTGTTAATTAATAATGCTCTGCTATCCATAAGACAAAAGCACTTCCTTCTTGGCAGATTTTCTAAAACTTGCTATTCTTGATCAGCAAGCTTGTTGGTTGGTGGATGCCTTTTGAAATTCAGTAGCAAAGATATGATATTTTTTTCTGAAGAAGCACAGATTTTTACAAAGGATAACTGTTATCAATTATGATAAAGATCTTTTGTCACTTGTTTTGTTTGCAGGTGTCTTTTATAAGACTTCCCATAATCCCTTCAGGAAGAAATATTTTCTCCTTTCTAAAAACAGTATTAGCTAAATATAAAAGCTGTGATCCCAGCCATTGTAGTTGATTCTTTGAGAGACATTTCCCAACATTCATTGTTTAAATGGTTGTCAGGAGGAATCAAGTGAAACTTAATAAACAATGCAGTAACTGGTTCATCTTACTTTGTGTGTAGAAGCTTTTCTTGAGCGGATTTGCATTGAAGAAGTGGTCCTTTTTCTCAGTTATTGCAGGGATCATTGTGAAGCATTCCACCCTTTTACTATCTTGGCAAGTGAGTGTATAATTTCTACACAAATAAACACAATGTGATTGGACACCCAAAAACTACAATATGAGCCCATTTAAATACCTAGAAATAAATAATTAAAACTACCAGTTTTGAGAGTTTCATAATTACACTGAGGATAGATTTGAAGGCAATACTAAAAATTGGTAGTGTTCTTTTTAGAGTGCCTAATAAGATTTATACACTGCAGTACAGTCATAATGAGCATGATTAGTCTAGACAGCTATACTGGATGAAAATTAATTCCTTGAACTACAAAGTTGAAGGTTTTTTCCCATCTTCCGCTGAATCAATGAAGAAGAAACAGTCAGTTCTTTCCAAGACCGTGGATAGTAACTGTATATTTATTTGTTAAAGGAAAAATAAAAGGTATGTGGAGAGCTTAAAAGTGCATCGTAAACCTTGTGTATTCTTCTGAAAACCTGGCTAGGTTTTGCCAAACTGTTTCTTTGCCATAGCTCCCAAAGTAGCAACTCTTGCTGTGTTTAAAGTTTCCTGCCATCCTTTCTTTCTTTGGTATTACGTACACCAAAATACAGCACACCTGTCTTTGGAGAGATTGGGGACAGGAGAGACAGTCCTCACTAGAGGGAGGCAGCAAATTTTTTCTTCTTAAGGATTTTAACAGCGCATGAGACATGTCATGTTAGTGCAGCTAACTATCTTTTTGTGGAAATTACTGCTGTAGCCACAAGATTTATAAATAAAAAATAAGTCTCTCTTATTAGGCCACATTTATGGCTACGTGTGACTAGCTGGCTGTTGAACAGTATTCTCTGGGTAGATGTGAAGTATAGAAACTGAAAAGAAATTGAAGATTAATCATAGAACAGCATAGACTGGAAGGGGCCTTAGAGATCATCTAGTCCAACCTCCCCGTCATGGGCAGGGACGCCACCGCCCGAGCAGGAATCGAACCCACGACCTCGGTGTTGTCATTGTTGTCAGCACGGTGCTCAAACCACTGAGCTAACCGGCCCCGCCACTGAGCTAACCGGCCCCCAAGTTGAAGTTAGGCCCTTCAATCAAAATATCTTTAATTGTACTTTTACAGTCCAGTTCAAAGCTCATTAAAGTAAAAAATAAACTTTACAGTTAAGTCTGCACCTTATTTTCTGTAATAGATTCTGACTGGCTGTAGGTGTTCCTTAAAAATAAAATAAAAAGCAGTACTATGTTTGCTATGACACTTGCTATTTCTACTAAATAGAACACTAAATATGTTTGTAAAAACAGGTGGTAATTAATATTTGTAGGTTGATTCAGGTAATCAAAAAGCTGAATGAACTTGTTTGGTGAAGATAGCATGGTTTAATTTTTTGTGAGCTCGCATATTTTTAATTACTTGCCTTATTACTGTTAGCCTCCTTAGCCTCAGTTCTGCATCTTGTTTTCTTTTTCCTGTCCTGAGTTATGTATTTTTGGTGGGTGTTTTCCAAATAAGTTGCAATCTCCTCGGGTAAAAAACTATTTGTGAGAAGACCATTACAGTGATTTCTGAAAACTTTCTGAGAGTATTTAAACATCTACTTTGTTTAGATATATATGCTTTATTTGTGCATTTGTTAGCTTAAACAGAGGACAGGCCTGACAGCAGCCTCAAATTGCTACCCAAACACAAATAATTGCAAAAAGCTTTCTTTAGTTAGTATGAACTTGATCATCCTATAAATAAGTCCAAAGGGACTTAAGGAAGTCGGGTGCCATTTAAAATGACTGGGAATTTGTTACTTAATTTTCTTAGGCTCATCTGAAAATGCCGGCTAATTTACTCAGTGTTACAACCAACTGTTGTTCCTCCTCCTGCCTTAAACTCTGGGGGAGTCCAAGGTTCTGTTGGTGTGGACTTCACTGGTAGATGTGGGGCTTGTAGTTTAAAACATCGTGGTTAACATGCATAGCACTGTCTAGCTCAGTGCAGC